TCTACAAAATGTTTTTCAAAATTTAACCATAAAAGGATCGGCAAGAAGGATGCGATGTGTGGAATCAGTCGGAGCCAAGGAAAGTGATTCCCCAAGATACCCACACTTGTTTTGTGTATTGATAGAATTACATGCTAGTATGTAGGCTAAGGATCTTCGGGAATTGCATGATAGAATTTCCTGTTGTATGATGCTTGATAGCCTAGGAGAGTTTCTTGTTATGCTTAATGGAACTGACATTGTTAATGTGGTTGCTTGGTGTGTGCATCATAATTGTACATAACTAAGATTTTATAGCATGAGAATGTTTGATTTAGCCTTATTTCATGCTCCTTGTCTGGTTGTGTGCTTAGGGTAGAATCAAGTATTCGAATGTCTATCGAATCCAGTGTTATGTATGATTAGCATACACGAGCGGTCGTAGGGTTATTGGAAGTTTCATGAGTGAGTATGGATTGTAGCAGGCCAGCGTGAGGAAGGATTAGGTACCCTTGAGAGAATATGTATAGGATGTATGCATACCCTAGATGTTGGGCCTTATGGCTAGGTGGTCCAAGACGATCTCTTGAGACAAATATAGGTAGGTGTGAAAGGTAGTATGGATCAGTACTACTGGAAGCACAGGACCCGTATGCGTAGCAAGGAAGTCACGAACCCCGAGGGTTTAGTAATTTCATAATGTTGAAATAGTATGAATTGTGGCTTTTTTGATGTATTTCGGTTTGTTTTCAGTATGTCGATTACTAGAGGTTCTGGATCAGGAGTTGGCGGCCCAGAGAGGCCAGGATTGACAGTTGAGGAGATCTGTGAGACGATCACCACTCAGGTGACCATGTCTTTTAGGGAGGCAATCCCGGAGGTTTTTGGGTCTATTAAGACTGCTATGATCGACATATTTGAAGAGCGCTATGTTGCCGTCACCGAGGCTACTATTGTCATAGCCACAATAGTCGTTGTTGTTGCGGGACTCCAAGGGAGGGGGTCATTTCAGTACTGGGAATTCAGCAACACGAAGCCCCAGGAGTTTGACGGGGTCAAGGACCCGATTGTTGCTATGAAGTAGTTATCCGATGTGGAGGGTTGTTTCTTCACTTGTTCGTATCCGGAGGACGAGAAGGTCAGGTGCGCCCTGAACCTTCTTCGTTTATGGGAGAAGGATTGGTGGAAGCTGGTGACCGGTGCTTCATCTCCTATGGAGAAATCCGCAGTGACATGGGAGCATTTTTCAGAGATGTTCCGTACCGAGTATGTACTGCTGGTAGAGAGTGATAGGTTAGCTCAGGAGTATCTGTCGCTGAGGCAGACGACAGAGTCGGTGACGGATATCACCAAGATGTTTACAGACAGAGCCCTATTATGCCTCGAGTATGCTGCTTCGGAGTAGGTCCAAATGTCCCGTTACTTGAGCATGATTAAGACGGAGATTCATGAGTTCGTATCGACCCATCGGTACAATTCTCTCTCTGAGTTGCAGTCTTTCACTCGGAGGAGAGAGATTGAGATTGAGACCCAGACGAGAGAGAAGAGGCAGACCTCAGCTCAGTCACAACCGACAACAAATCAGTTTAAGCCTGTTGATTCACGATCTGGAGGTCAGAGGGGCCGCACTTGTGGCAAGTGCGGGAAGGCGCATGAGGACGCTTGTCAAGAATAAGTGTATTAAATCGAGTTTTTCACGCTTATTGTAAATTTCCTTGCAAGTTATAAGAAACAGTTGTGTTCTTCATATTGTCTACTTATTATTCTTTGATAATTGTTGCATATTCTATATTTCAATTGCATTTAAAGTTTATTGTTCGAGCCTAAGATCCTAACTCAATAGTAGGTTTAGAACTAGAAATGTAGATGTAGGGTTTGGTGATTTGCGTTGGTGAATTGGTAGATAGGGCTTGTGGATATTTTCAAGTTCGGTTCCTTTCTATAGGTCGCCCTCGACATTTACCGTACAAGGAAATAATGGAATGGGATTATCGATGTTTTACAGATTCTACTACAGGTGCAGATTCATATTCAATGTTCATCGGATTCAACAGGTTTATATTCATTCTTCGTTGGATTCTATAGTTCAAAGTACTTTAAGCTTGTTCATCCCAAAACTGAATCATATCTTGAAGACAAGTGTAAAATAGGTTTGTGATATTTCATTGTTTAGCTTTTTTGTTTTGGCTTGAAAAAGAAAACTAAATGCATAATCAGTCATTTCTACATCTCCATTGTCGGTGATTTTAGTGTTATCAACATAATTTAGTGTAGTTGTTATTAATATTGAGATAAGCTGAGTTCTATTTCACTCACCGATGTTGGATGTGTTGGGTGCACACTCGGAGTGATAAATGTGAACTCGAGATATGGGGGTCGGGGGCAGCACCCCTAGATACGGGGTTCCAAGGGGCAGGCCCCTAGCGGGGTCCAAGGGGCAGAGCCCTTGGCGGTGGTTCCAACCATGCATTTCCCGCCAAAAACAATTGGTGACATCACTGTGATGTTAGAATCAGTTATGTCTTATAACCATATGTTGAACAACCTTTTTGGCGCCAAAATTGCATGTAACCACCATTAACTACCTTTCCCTCTTGTATAAGAACATATTACATGTTCCAGAAAAGGGGTTACATTCTATATAGACAAAACTGCACAAATGGTCTTTGTGGTTAGCTCAAAATTGTCATTTTGGTCCATAAAAGTTTGGACTGGCACCACAAGTCCAAACTTTTCATTTTGTTGCGAGTTTGGTCCAACTTCCTTTGAAATTTTCTATAATGACGATTTTGCCCTTATTTTTTATTTTTCAGTTTTATTTATTTATTTAAATATTTGTATATGCTTAAAAGAAAAACAAATTACCTCTCTCTATCTGTGTGTGTGTGCCTAGAACTCAAAAAAAAAAACCATATATATTTTCGTTATACACCTGCAACTAAAAAATAAACAAAAAACCTACATATATTTCCCTGTGTTCCATCTATTTCCTTGTTTTCTCTCAAATTTTTTGAAGCTTTCTCTCTCTACTTTCTCTCACTAAAAATATGATTTTTTGAATTTTTTTTTTTTTTTGAAATAAACGAAACTCATATTTCTTGAAGTGGAATCTGATATGAAGAATTGAAATCTGGTCTGAAGAAGGTACCCTAGCTGTCGTGAAGCTCGAGGTTGTCGGAGCCACAAAAAACCTTAGGATCACCGTCGGAAATCACCACCATTCTCCAATTAAGCAAAATGAATTTCAGAAGTGAAAGGAAAAAAAAAACCCCACCTTCATCTACCTTCGATTTCCACCATGTTTTCCTCAAAAAAAAAAACCTTCTTCATCGTCAATTCCCAAATCTATAGCGCCCTTAATTTCAGTTTTTTGACGAATTTGTACTAGTAGTAGAACATGATGAATTTGGAGGTTGAATACGAAGTTTGAAAATTACCTTCGTCCACTGAAGAATTGCTCTGATGAGCATCAAGGGTTTTTATACGTCATCAGTCTATTTCTCGAACAGATCTGACGACAACGCAACCGAAGAAGATGAATGGTGGAGGCGACGTTCCAGATCGACAACAACATTCTAGATCGTTTTCTGAAAACCTAAGACAACGATGACGATCTAGATCTGAAGAGGGGGAGCGTTTACAAATTTCCGAAAAATCGAGGGTCCGTTTGTCTTCGACAGAAATTGATGCTTTTGGGTGGTGGCATTCATCTTTTCTGGTGGAGGTGGCGGCGTTCATCTTTTTCGGCGGTGGTGTTCCGATGGTTATGTTACCTAAGTTACCTGTGAAAGAGATGAGAGACGAGAGAGAGAAAATGAGGGTTGGGGAAGGGAGTGAGGGTGGGTCTTGGTGTCAATTTGTTTTTTTCTTAAATTAAAAAAGTTTTACAGTAAAAAAATTGAAAAAATAAAATACAAAGGGTAAAATCATCATTATAAAAAAGTTCAAAGGAAATTGGACCAAACTCGCAACAAAATAAAAAGTTTGGACTTGTGGTGCTAGTCCAAACTTTTTTGGACCAAAGTGGCAATTTTGTGCAGTTTTGTCTTCTATATATACTCGAAATTTGTTCATCAGATTCTCTTTACCTCTTAAGAACACATCAAGCAAAGATATTATGTGTTTCTCAATTCGAATTAGCCTTGTAATTCGGATTGGTTTTTGTTCTTAGATTATCTCACTTATGAATTTGTCTACCCCAAGCAAAAATGTACGAATTACATATTTCGGAAAATGATGGAAAAACACGATCCTAGAAATTATCCAAGTTTACATATTGTTATTTTGATTCCCTAAAACTAACATACATTTCGCTATGTTCTTCCATTCTCTTAAAATTCAGTTGTGTTCTATCTGATACCAGCATTTTCTTGGAATCTAATTTGTGTTTCATTTCTTGTAACTTAATTTTCTTTCGTTGAGATTCTGCCGGAAACTCAAATATCGTAAACCAAACAGATGCACAACTTTTTACTGCACTATGTTGTTGTTCTATGATGATGAAAGTGGGGGAAGGGATAAGGAGGTGAAGATGAGTAGGTTCATGAGTTTTAGAAACAGTCAGTTTTGAATGGAAGCTCCGGTGGATTGAAGGGGAGGGGAGAGGCGATGATGGAGATGGCTAGTGGTGAGGTCATGGTCCGAGTTTAAAGAAAAAGTTAGAAATTCAAAACACATGTTACTTGATTAAAGTCGGGCAAGCATGATTGATTGAGAAGGATAAACACGAATTTGAAGATTGCTACAGTGATGTGATATCAGTGGTTCCTATTTTTATAAGTTTGGAAAATTTTCAGAAGTGGGAATTACATATTATCCCGTGTCTACTTACATCCAAAACAAAAGATAAAATTAAATTTCTACTTAATTACAAAATTACTATCTCAGCATCATGACCAACTTATTTTAGTCTAATAGTCCCATAATTAGTTCAAGATATACAAAGCAAGATTTGATAAATATTTCGACCATTACACATTTTGTTCCATTTTATATATCAATTCCAAAAAAAAATGTATGTTGTACATAATTTACACGTTTTTGGGGAAAAATAAGAAAAAATTAGAGTGATTAACAAGATGCAAGCAAAAGTAAGATTTGGCAAAAATCCATAGCGAGTTGCGACGCTAAATTAAAACATGATCCAAGCACTAGTTTTAGTTTTACATGCGTGTCGTAGTCACCGACTGACACAATCGCCAAAAATACAACTAACACCCAGTCACCCACCCATCCTATTATAGTTTGATTGGCCAATAATTATTGAAAAAAAAATAATGATAATGAAATAGTCAAAAACCCCTCAAATCCAACATACTCCCAGACAGTCCCAGGCTAGTGTCGAGTAAAACGTTAGAAAAATGATCTAGTAGTAGAGTTTTACTTGGTGGCAGTAGTAGTAGTAGCAGTCTGCTTGTTTTTCTTAGGGTCCAAGGCGCCTAACCCTGGACCTAACCCAACCGGGGTGGTGGTTTCCACCACCACGGCTCCGTTGGTGTTGGTGTTGGCATCATCTCCGGTGGTGTTTTCCGGTGTCATACCAGAGTTGATGATGTTGAGGAGTTGGGTGAGTGGTGGCATAGCCGGGACAGGGACACCGTGCGGCCGGATTAATAGACCTCTGGCAGCGGCTTTCTTCCTGGCCTCCGCCACTGCACGGGCGGATCTTTCGTCCACGCCTCTACCACCACCACCACGAGGGAAGTTTTCGCCAGGAACTGTGGTGTTGTTGGCGCTGCCGGAAGCTCCTCCAGCGGAGGCGGCCTGGAATGCTTGTATCAAATCAGGGTGAGCCTGTACAATTTACAATTTACAAACAAACAACATTGCTAATTAATTAATTTACTACCCATTTTAAAACCAACAATCTCATTCGTCAGACCAAACCAAATATACCTTTAACAGATCAATTGCTGCCTGAGCTGAAACCGCATTCACAGCTTGCCCTTTCTGCTTTTGTGCAGTCATCTGTCATCATATTATATATAATCAGAAAAAATATATATATTAAATATTAAATAATTAAAATAAAAGCAACGCATCAAAATAGTACCTGCGCCTCGCGCACTTTAAAAGTTTTCATCCAGTTGTGGGAGTCGCGAGTCCTCAAGTCATCCTCTCCAAGTTGCTTCACAAGTATGTCATATGTCTTCTTCTCATGCTGCCAAACGAAACAGTAAGCTAAGCTAAGCTATAAATGATATAATAATAATATACACTCGTCTGTGACTTTTTTTAAACATGGATGGAAAATAATAGTAAAGCATGGATGTAAGCATGCCTGATGAGAGAGCTTGTAGGCTCCAACACAGTTGAAAGCAATTGCAAGTGCATGATAGCAGACAGCAGTCTGGATATGTTCCTCTCCTAAAAGCCTCTCATTCTTTTTCAATGCTTCTTGTAGATAACGAAGAGCTGTGTTCATTTTCCCAATGTCTTGATACATCATTGCAACATTAATGTAAGTTGCTGCAACATCAGGGTGATCTGGCCCAGATGATAAGCTTAATAGAAGCAGGGCACGCGACATGTGGCGCAACGCCAGTTCTGATTGGTTCAGTCCGTGATAGAATAGGGCCATGTTCCCGTAGCTGCAAAACATTCCATTTCTTTATTTCTAATCCATCCAGGGATTTTGGTATTTAAATAACGACAAATTATATACATTTTCAGATGGAAATGCTGCTACTTTATTTCAAACTATTTTTAGGTTCAAAAAATAAAAAATTATTTGATTATAAATGGGTACCTGTGAGCTGTGTCAGGGTGGTCAAGCCCAAGGCAGCGCTCATTTATAATAAGTTCCTTATGCTGCTGCATAATGGCTGCAGCCATGTCTCCGGCATGATAAAGAACCATTGCAAGATAACTACAAAAGTAAAAATTCCAATATAATTAAAGATAAAATAATAATTTTAGAAAGTTCAAACATAATTATTTCAACTAGGAAACATACCGGCAGCAATTAGCAACCTCACGATGCATTGGACCCGTCACCTGCATTTCATAATTTAATTTAATTATATAAAAAAAAATCATTACCCACCATGAAATGAAATGAAAGATATCATAAAACATACATACCTGTTGAAGTATTGTAAATGCTTCCGTAAATAAAGTGTAGGCTTCGTTAAGCATTCCCTGAAATAAAAAACAAGTCATATTAATGTGACATGTATAACAATTTAAAAAAAAAAAAAAAAATGTTACCAACCTCTGCCAACTGGACCTTTCCTGTTTCCACGAGCTCTTTTGCTTCTGAACATACGGGTATTGAGTGTTTGACCACAGGTTGAAGACTCAAAATATCTGATGTTTGGAAAGGTGTTCCTGCACTCAGATCGTACTTTTTAGCAGCTATGGTTACCCCCACCTTGAGGCAAATGTTGCGGATAACTGAAACCTTCTTCACACGTGACCTTGCATCCTCTGGCAATTCAAACTGCAAATAGAGAAAACATGAAATCTGTTTGGTTGGATGGAATGAAGATGAAGTAATTTGATGTTACCTGGTATTTAACTTCGGCAAATTCAAGAATATCAGCCCACAAGCTTTCAGAACTAAGACTCATGCAGGATGCTTGTTTTCTACTGCTGCTACTACTAGCAGCACCTCCAACTTTCGACCTTTTTGTGGATTTTCCTGAGGCTACCTCCTGTTAAATCCATGAATCAACATCAGGACTTGAACTCATTTACCTTTACCCCATAAAATATAAATCTCAATTTTTGTATTTTTCATAACCAAAAATAAATTATAAAACTAATGACCTTCTTCTGATTTTTGGACTGTGTATTATTAGCAACGGCTTTTCCAGAAACAGAAACCGCCTGACAGTCTCCAAATAGACAATTGAAGAAATGAGCAACTGCATGTCCGATATCATGATCTGCTGTATCTCTCAGCACGTCCTGTAAAGAAAAAGAAAAAAGCATTTTTACAACATGAATTTTTACCCATGGTTAATTAAATAAAGATCATTGAATTCACCTTGAGGATGTGTTTTGCACATCTAACAATGATCTCATTGGAACAAAGATCCCATAAATGAGGCAAGTGCTTCGTACCATCAGCTACCTGGAATAATGTAAAAAAAGAAGTTATCACATAGGGACGAAAAAAGCGATATTAGCACAGGGACCAGTGTGTATATATATATATATATATATATATATATATATATATATATATATATATATATAATTTCTTACTTTGCCGATATAGCGAAGGTTAATTCCATGCGCATGCAGTGCTTCAGTGAGCGTCTGGCCGTCCATTGGTGAAACTTCAAGTGTGCAGAGATCTTGTATAAATTTTGGAAGCACAACCTCCTTGAGATATGAACTCACCTTCCGTACACTTTCTTCATCAGCAGCAATATCCTGTTACATGCATCATGAGAACCTTTGCGTCTTTTTAACTACAAGCTTCCTAGTTCCTATGACATATTTTTAGTGACAAGGCCATTTGTGTCTTTTACAAAGAAAAGACAGAATTACCTCAGGACTCCCAGCCAGTTTGAATTCTGTAAATACATTAGGGTTAAACCTTATATCCTCCTCCACCGCCACGTCACCAGTCTTAGAACCAGATTCTTCAATCACTGTTTTATCCTCTTCTGACTCATGCTGCACTCAGTTTTAAACAACAATCATAAACATATCTTTTTAATCCATTAATAATAACAGTTGCAGTTAAAAAACTTAGGTTCAAACACTTGAACACAATAAAGTTAGAAACATGAGTATATGTTATTTAATTAGTATAGAAAGTTTTCTGGATAGAAGGATGAAAGTATCTTCTGCTTTTCTGTATCTTATAATGATTAGAAAATTTTACCAGTTTAACATCAGAGGTTTCGGCTGTCTCGGTTTGATCTTGTTCAACAACAGTAGTATCAACTTTTGGAGATGCAAGTTTTTCCTTTTCCTGTGGCTCACCCTTAGATTTTGAACTCTTTGCTGCCTCAGCCTTCTCACATACAACACATATTATATCAACAATCATATATGCAACATAAAAGAAGAAAAAGGTTCTACATGATGTATATATTTATGACCTGGCAAAAGGCAGTGATTAATTCGGGTCTCAGTATACAGAACTTGGAATTTGTTCCTGTATAATTTGCATCACGAGGAGTGACTCTCATCAGGTCCAGGAGATAGTGCCTGGAAATGAAATGTCAAAAATCAATTCAGTCAGCACTGCATATGCATAACTAGAAATCAAAATCTCAGATAAAAGAAAGCAATCTATAACATGAGGCAAAGGCGATCTGAATAGCAACAAACTAAAACTTCATTTGTTTTTCTACTGTTTGTTTCATTCTATTGCAGCATTGTTCTTTGAAAAATATACCCGATCAATAGCATTGTAAGTACCGTTTGGAATTTTCACCAATTATTGCTTTGTTTTATTAATGACATTGTTATTGTTATGTTTTCAAAACACAATGAAAGTAATTATAACAAATGAATATGTGAAATCCGGTTGAAAAAATCACCTATCATCACTTCCGACAATGCCCTTGCATTCAACTGGTGCAGCTATCTGGAACACATTTCCTGATCCATCAACAACACTGTGTTCCTTCACCCGCAGGCGTTTTGAAGCTTCGAGTACCTAATGTTAGTTAGATATAGATATAGTTAAGCACAAATTACAGAAAGAAAAGTATACAATACAAAAAGATAAAGAGGGATAATATATATATATATATATATATATATAAAATCCTGACCTTGGAATGAAAATCTTGATTCCAGCAGATCTTCTTGCCATTGTCAACAGACCCATACAGAAGCGAATCTGATTTATCACCTTGTAAAATTCCAGGTAGAACACTCTGTGGACAAAAAGGATTAAGATCCAAGATAGAAAAAAAAAAAAAAAAAAAAAAAAAAAAAAAAAAAAAAAAAAAAAAAAA